GTGTTATCCAATGACCTCGTAATCCTACCAGCATAAATACCAATGCTTCTGTAGCTGGCGTATTTGGTTCAATTACAACAATATCTTTTTCATAATCTGTAATGCCAATGAATCGACCTGCCTTTTTATCGTTTAGAACTGGTGTTTTGATTACCATTGCATCTATAACTAATGCAAAATCTTTATAATTAATATCAGTCACTGCTTTTATACTAATATAACTTAAAACATCTTCAAAAAAAACCAGTTTTACAATCTACAAAAGAAGTCCAGTTGGCTAAAGAGCTTGAAGCAGGTAAATGGAGTATAGGCCGTAGAAAATTTTATGCTTTAGGGGAGTAAAAATGCAGAGTTATTGCAAATTTTTTAACTTCATCAGTATACCTACGCCCTTTTGGAAGTGAGATATTGTTTTTAAACTGATTTTTTATAATATCAAAGTCAATCCACAAAAGTTTTCACAAAAAACATTAGTAGCATCTTCAGAAACAATTTTTTTTTTGGTTAGATTTTTTAGCATAACCTTTAATGAATTTTTTTTTCTTTTCGTCGCAACTTTTGTTTAAGAACTTTAATTTTTGCTTTTAATTTTGCTTTAGTTGGACTTGCATTTGTCAATAATGTACTTTTAGAAATAATAGTATCATCATTAATAATTTTGTTACTACTTTCGATAATATTAAAGCTACTATTTATATCCATCTGGTGATCAATACTCTTTGTTGTATCTGAAATAACACTATTAATATAAATTGTGTTATTATTAGCACTGCTAATAATGCAGCAACATTATTGTTATCACTTATATCCGAATGGAAATCGATGTAATGGTGACTGCCTGTTTCTGAAACTTTTTAATTGCGGTTTGTAATTTAAAATCAGTTATATTGTAATCTGAAGGTAAAAAGTGATCACTACAAATGCAGCTGTGCTCAGTAGGGATGTTTCACGTTTTATAGCAACAATCCACTTTTTACAGAGTTCGCTATTACTAATTAGAAATTTATGAAATGCTCTGTTGTTGTTTTTCACTGTTCTATTTGTGCAACCTGCTGCAGCACAAGAATTAACCATGATTTCTAATTTTTGAATATTAAATATTATTTGATCCAAACAACCATGATTTTAAATTTGCCCCCCTCCCCCCTCCATAATGACTGATTTTTGCTTCAAAAAATACGCGGAAGTTAGACATCTAGTTATTTTTAATATATCATAGGGTTTTTTACGGACTTCTAAAGGATACCTGATATACACGTCCGCCAAAAAATCTATGAGAATTGAGGCAGTTTCCACTCATCCGTTTTTCAACGGGAACGGGATAGGAAAGGAAAAAATAATCACGTGAGCATGCGTAATAAGAAATTTTATTTGTCCGAAAGAAAACTGCGCATGCTCACGTGATTATTTTTTCCCTTTCCCGTAGAAAAACGGATGAGTGGAAACTCACCTTTACATAACAAATGTTTACTTTTCATATTAAAGGAAAATAGCGCGATTTTTATAACTGTAAAAGTTATATAGAAGAGCCATGGCTGAGCTTCATGTAATTGGAGAACTAGACGGGGCAAGCGGATTTCCAACGCACAGTTTATATTGCAAATGGTCAGTCCAAGTTGAAGGATCTTGGAAACTTCTTTCTGGGGTATGTGAAGGTCAGACACAAGTTGATAATCCCGAAAATGAGGAGTATTCAGTTTGGTCTCATCCTATTGATTTGCATTTTGCTACAAAAGGCTTGAAAGGTTGGCCAAAATTACATTTTGAAGTTTGGCACCAAGACAACTTTGGCAGAAATGAAGTTTATGGCTATGGCTTCTGCCATGTTCCTACATCTCCAGGTTCAGTTATATATATATATATATATATATATATATATATATATATATATATATATATATATATATATATATATATATATATATATATATATATATATATATATATATATATATACATACATATATATATACATATATATATATATATTCATATATATATATATACATATATATATATATATATATATATATATATATATATATATATATATATATATATATATATATATATATATATACATATGTATATATATATATATGTATATATATATATATATATATATATATATATATATATATATATATATATATATATATATATATATATATGTATATATATATACATATATGTATATATATATTTTGAAGTATTTTTTTTGACTTAATATGTCTTTTAAAATAAAATTTGGAATTATTTAAAGTCAGTATACTATTTTCCATTTATCATAATAAATAATCCAAAAAAATTTTGCGTTTTGACATCAGTTTGTGGCAAAATAAACTTTTATGCATCAAGTTTCCTTTTGCATTTATCTTTAAACATTTTTTTATTTATTTTAATTGTGTTGCATATAATTGCACAAAAAGTTATAAAGCTGGAACATATATATCATTTCACGGATAAGAGTTTGTATTAATTTCAGTAGTAATAAATAAATAGTTTTTGTCTTTATTAAGATATATTCCTTAATAATGTATTCCATTTATCTTTAATTGAAGGAGTTTTTCTAAAAAATTTTAATAAAATCTTATTTCTAGTTTGTTTTTTCTAGTTTTTAGCTACAAGATGATGTCACATACACAAAAAAATTGTGGCTTCAACAATTTACAAAAAATCTATAATTTTTAATGGTCTAAGAAGCAGATGACGTAATTTAGCAATCAGAAATAATCAAGAGAGGGGCAAATCTAAAAAATTGAAGTTTCAAATTTTCCACTTGGATGACAATATGTTTCGTGTTTTTTGAATTTTTTAAATATAATAACACACAAAAAATCAGAACAAAACAGTTTGAGCAAAAAAGAATTATTAGTAATTAGTAATCAGTTTGAGCAAAAAAGACTTATTATTAATAAGTAAAAATTTTTGTTTATCAATGTGCCAGCGTGGCCAAGTAGATACCGTGCAGAGCTTCTAAACAAAAAAGGGTGGTTTGAGTCCTACCACTGGTGACTTTAATTTTTTTAATTTTTTTAAACTTAAAAAATTTAAGATTAGTGTATTGGTGTTTGCAAAAAAACATTATATAAATCATTTTTTAGTATAAACTAATTTTTTTTTTCAACTTTATTGTATAGGCAGATTTGGCGCCTTAACCATCCCTATATAAACAATATGTAAAAACAAATATGTTGTTTGTTTATATATATTGTTTATAAAATGTAAAAAATCCACATAACGTTTTATTCAGGATTGTATGTAAATATAAGTAAACTTTACCAATAATTAAAAAAATAAAAGTCACTAGTGGTAGGACTCGAACCACCCTTTTTTGTTTAGAAGCTCTGCACGCTATCTACTTGGCCACACTAGCACATTGATAAACAAAAATTTTTAAAACTGTATAATATTTTTTTAACAAAAATAAATACTTTAGATCAAAATTAAGTAGATGTTGCCACAATGCAGTTTTCAAGTGAAAGTCAAACTGTAAAACTTTCTACGTGTATTAATATGTTTTAACATTACATAGTTTCAAGTTTATATAAGTAAGATATTTGCATACACTTTTGTTCATGTTTTCTTTTAATAAAAGTACTGCGACTCTTTCTCACCACTACCTTGGTTGCAATGGTTGCCAAGGGTTTTGTGTCAGGCACGCTCAATGGGGCACTACTACTACTAATACTATTAAGTTTGGCAATAATATATAGAGGTTATAAGATAATAAATTTATAATACTATACAAAAGTGTAACAATATTATTATGGTATTATAATATACAATGTTTTATTACTAAAATTTATCACATAACATAAAATAACATCTTAAATATTAGGATGTTATTTAGTTAATAAGTTTTTAAATTATTATGATGCATTTATATTTGTGTTAAATTTATTATAATATATACAATTTATAATAAATTGTAAATAATAAATATATAAATGTATATAATAAATAATAAATAAATTGTATATATTGTAATTTATAATAAAATTCTATATCAATCTGACAATGTATAATAATCATATTTCTAATATTTAGTGATTTTAACGTTAGCCCAAAGTTAAGGTAGTTTATAGCTAACTTAACTTTACTTGCTTAAATTGAGCTGAGCAAGTTTTTAAAAAGTTTGGTGAATACCAATTCAGCTTGGTGAATACCAATTTTTTAGCACTGAAGTTACGAAAAAACTTATGTAAGTTTTGTTAAATGCAACTGTGCAAGTTTCATGAATGCAAATTTCACTTACGCAAAGGAAAAAGTTTGCTAAATACGCTCCCTAATCTTTTTACTTCTCCACAGAATAAAGCAGAGTTATTTGCAAAAAAATCTCACTCTACTTTGACTCTTGCATATAATGGCCATACTCTTCCTGCCAGTTAAACATATTAACCTATTGTTAAACATCCGAATCAATCTGGCTTCTAATGCTAAAGTTAATTCTCTATTAAACACTTCTACAGTTTGTGCTTCAGATAAGATTTTCATCATATCTTAAAAAATTGTTCTCCAGAACTCTCTTCAATTTTTGCTAAATTTTAAAAAAGTGCTAAATAAGTCTTCACTCTGATATTAGTTTCTTTATAAAATTGTTATAGATTATTAAACTACTTCTTTCTAACAGCAGCATTAAAGTTATTCTTGAAAGCCTACACTCTTCTTTATTTTGAGTAACTTTAAGGGTACCACAACGTTTTATCTTTGCTCATGATATGTTTCTTATCTACAATAACGTTCTTCATGAAAATTTTACATCTAAAAGTGGCTCTAATTGCTGATGATTCAACTTTATACTCTTGTCTTGACAAGAAATCTTCACTTTTTGATTGCTTAGAACAAGCAGCTGATTTTTAATCTGCTCTCTCTTCTGTAACAGCCTAAGACTTGCTGTGGTTTATGAATTTAAATTCTGGAATAAAAATCCACAATTTTTGTTAGACAAAAAAACTGATTTATTTACTGCAAAAAAATATTGAAATAATGTTGACATTCCTATATTGATAAATAACAACCCTCTTACTCTCAAGCAAAGTCTAAAAGCACATTATAAATGTAGTTAGACCTGCTTTATCTGCCAAGCTTGAGCCACTCTCCCATTGTTGTAAGGTTGTATTTCTTTCTTTTTTTATGGTCAATGCTGAAACGAGCAATCATTTCTATTACAATAAACCAAAACTCATTCTTATTGTTTCTTATTTTACAGTTAGCATCCATTTACTGTATCTGTTCCTTATGCGGTAGTGGTGTAGTGGTAGAGCGCTCGTTTCATAAACGAGTGGTTCCGAGTTCAATCCCCACCACGTCCCTGGTAGTACCGCGCTCAACTTGTTTCTCCGCGCAGCGGCCTTGTTCGTCAAGGTTCGTGTTTCGGAGTTATAGAGTTGAGAGAGGGTTATAGCCACAAATAAGTAGCCTCCTCGTCTGTAGTGGCCTTCTCGGCCTTGAGGAGGTGAATTGAAATAAAAAAAAAAAAAAAAAAAAAAGCTATAAATATTTAATTAATCAAGTTTTTTTCCTTGCACATCAAAAAAACTTATAACTCTAAGACATCTTCATGTTTTTCTTTTATATACAATCTAGAACTTTTTAGGTTTTTAATTAACCATTTCCCAATATTTTTACTTATTCTCTATTTTAAAATAACTCATTACTTAATAGTGGTTGCTTGCAATCTTTTTGGAAGTAATTTAGAATTTGAAAAGTAATTTAGATTTGCCATTATTTAATAAATGGTAACTGTAAACATAAAATTATAATTTATAAAGTATTATAATTTTTTTTTCTAGCACTGGCTATCAACCTCTGATTAATCTGATAATTTTGTCTGGGCCAGGTTTGAAAAAAGTATCATTTTTTGCCTGGGACAGGGCCGGGGCCCTGTTCACTTACCATTTAACAGTTGTATATGCAGTTGTTAATTATAGGAAGCACATATTTAAATATTTTTTTGTGATTTATGTATTATCAGAAAAGACTTTCCTTGAAAATTATCCCTTGATGAAAATAGATGAAGTTATACAGGCAATAATCTGGAACTGTGGTTACCTTCAGCATGATCTTTTTTGCTTGATTTTTCAACATGAATCCACTGATATAAAAATATTGCAAGTGGAACAAAATGTTTCGTATTCATTTTTCTCTTTTTTAATATGGGGTTGCTGTTTTGTAAAGTCATCAAAAAAGTGACATTTCACTGTTCTTGTTAAATCTTAATTTCCGCGCTTGTTTTACAACCTTAAAACCAAACTCGACTGCTGCAGCCAAAGAGTAAATGTAAGGCTTTGACATTTCAAGTTTATTAGGAGTTAAAGAATCCATTATAATAACTTTGAACATCTTGTACTGACACGTCGCTGACACACATGACACAGTTTTTTAATTTTGAAAGGCATCTTGGGGTGAAATATTCTGTTCTGTAGACATAGAAGCAATGGTGCGTCTAGGGCCAGGTTGAAGTGCCTCTCTTGGATGAATAATTTAATGTAAATGGCAGCAACATACTCTTCTCTAAAATGACCATGTTCTACTATATCTAAAACTTCGTTTTCATTGTCATCTTCCAAAATGTTATCTTCTAATTCACTTCCCGAAGATTCATTTTCCAAATCAAAATTTGCCATACGTTCAAATATATTTTCATTCATATTTTTAATTGGGTACTAAATATGTGAAATAAATATATACAATCCATATAATTTGTTGTTATGTATATTAAAAAATATTCTGAGCCTAAATCATAATTCATTACAGTGTATTTCATTAAAGAACTAGTCTAAAGTACATAACTCAATATATAGCTTTCATAGCTATGGCTGCATCAGCCAAGGGCAGT